CTGTGTGTGTATCACCTCGGCCCTGCTGTTGCTCCACTTAGCAAAAAAAGGAACAACTTATCAAATCAGCTGTTCCTGCTGAGCGTGAGTCAGCTCTGACCTTCCCCAGCGCTCTGGACTCTGCTCCTTATGGAACGGCTCCGAGTGCTGATACTCCATCTGAGAGCCAAGCCTGATAAGCGGGCAGGATTTTTCATCCTGTGCATTTTCTGCCCGCGGCTCAGATGGCACGAAACGCTTGCCGGGCTGTCAGGGACTCACCAGAAGCGCTGTGCTCAGATCGTGTCACTCCCCCTTCACTGATTGTCGCTGCAGGGCTGGGAGCTTTCCAAAAACCCTGACCAGCTCCGGGAGCTGCCGCCGATGCTTCGGGAGGTGGCAGATTTCTGGTGGCTCAGGGCTGAGCCCCCTCGTGGCGTTTTAGGAGGCCGATCTGAGGGCTGGTAGTGACCCCTGGCATGGGTCAGAAACATTCCATTTGTCAAACTGCCTTGGCACTTCCAATGGTTTGTTTGCTCTCTGCTTATTCCTGTAAAGCAGATCCTTCTGAGCGCTCGTTCCTCTGCTCTTCTGCCTCTTTCCAGGCCCTGGGCACAGAGGCTCAGGGTGTGCTGATGACCTGTGTGGGTGGAAGGTGCCAGACCAGGGCCATTACCACAGGTAGTAATAACACAAAGATGCTCAGCACTTCCCTCTCAGGAATATTGAAACTTCCCTTCCGCTGTCAGTCGGTAAAACATGAGTTGTGAGTGAAAATAAGTGCGTTTAAAAGTGGTAGCTGCCTTTTTTTTTTTTTTTTTTTTCCTCTTTCTGCTACTTTTCAGTAGTCAAGCAAGATTCCTGTTAAACTCTCTGTTCAGAAAATCTTGGATTATTCCATTACAGCCTGGCCTCCTCCATGGTTTAGGTGCTGTGTGGTTGCTTTAGGAGAGGCACGTGCTTTGTTTGCATTTTGTTTGGGGGGGAAAAAACCAACCGAGTAAACCAAAACTCACTTTTATTTGCAGCTTAAACAGAAGTACAGTGCCATTTGTGACAAGTATTGGGATTTTCTTTAGTTTCATTCCATAAAATCTTATGGAAACAGCAAGATACTTTCCCTTTAGTGGCCTTGCCGTGCTAGGATTGCTGGTTTGTTGTTTCAGCTCTTGCACTGTAGTTTCTTTGTAAATACTGTGCTATTGGACTTGCTGTTTATTCACTACTTAGCTTAAATATCTGCTGTACAAAATCCTGGTTCAGTCTAAAAAAAAAAACAGTGAAAGTGTCAGCAAAGAGGGAGGAGAGCATTTAGCTTAATAAAATTGCAGCAGAGCAATCATTCTAATCATTTGGAACACATCAAGCCTGGAAAAGCTGGTTTCCTCTCAAATTCAAGGAAGGCATTCAGCCAGAATTCTCAGGGGCTTTGCTTTGAAAGTTAACAAAAATACAGCCATAAATGGATAATATTATTTGTGGTTTTTTTTTTTTCCCCAAGAAAAAGAAGCGGGAGTGGTAAAGATGGAAAAGTAACAAGGTGCAGAGTGTGTAAGCTTGAGATGACCAGTTAAAACCAATCCCAGTTTAACAGTGGCAGGAAGGTACGGTGATCAAAACTGTTGACATAAAAACAACTGTTGTAACCGAGCAGGAATTACCCTTCTTTGCTGCCACTAAATAAAGCAGCCTCTTGAATCTGGAGAAGCCCCGTGTTCAGCTTGGCTAAAGGGTGTTACTGTGATTATGGTCCTGTCTGTTAACTGAAGAATGTCCACATGGTGGTTTCATAATGTATTTTTAGGATTTTTATGTGTCTCTATCTGTAGATTATTAAAGCAAAGGGTGCTGGAAGCTCCTTTACTGGAGAAAGGACAACAGAAGGTGAGGCTGCCTTGGCTGGTGTCATAGACTGTGAATTAAATGCTTTGTCTTTCAGGCTTGCATTCCCACCACTGAATGTCTCCCTACACCTGCTGTAGGTGAGAACCAACCTCAGAAAACAGTAATAGGTATTTATGGCACCACTGAAGTGAAAAAAAAACAAAACCCTGTGGAAAAAGTTTTGGTGTCTTGCTCTGAGCAGGGGGCTGTGATTGTACCCAGCAGCCTGCAGGTGAATCTGGGCAGTTAGAGAGACTGGTTGAGAAACAGCTTGTGGATAAAAATAGGAATGATTGTAATTGCAATTTTAATGCTCTCTAGAGACACGAAATCAGTTTGTAGGTCCGGCTTGTGTGCTCGCCCCATATAGTATTTGATTTTTTGAGCAGCGTCACCTGCATTTTACAGACCTGGGGAAATTAAATACAGAAGGACTCAAGCGTTGTTTTCCATCAAGTGTGCAGGAATCTAATTACTCTGAAAGTCATTGGGAGGCTGGTGCCTAAAATCCCTTGCAAATCTATCCCTGAGTAAATTGTCCTGGCTCCTGGAGGGGGCTGAGTGTCACCTCTTGAGTGGCCCAGTGCCAGAGCACTGTCCTCTGCCAGGTTGAGTTATTTTTCAAAGAACTTGTTGAAAACATATTTCAGAGTAAAGTGTATCTGTCAACATGTTCAAAGGTATCATCTCTTTCACGGCAATTTCGAGCTTTAACAGCTACCAAACTAATAATTATAACCAAAATCCTCTTGCTTAGAATTCTTTAGCAAATGAAAGGGAGATGGATATGATCAGGACATAAAGAAAGGGAAACTGTGAAAGGGAATGTGTGTTTGGTGTTTGGGGGAGAAATGGTTTTGCTCTTCTCAAATGTCAGACAGCTCCCTGTCTGCTGTGGAACATTCTGCCCCAGAGCATCACCCTCCACCCCTGGGGTAAAAGTAGGCCTCAAAAAAAAAAAAAAAAAAAAAAAGAAAAGGCAAGAGCTTCTCCTGTTGTTCTGGATTGTCCAGTTTGTCTCCTCCCACATCCTCTCCCGAATCCAGTGGTTAAATGAGCTGACCTGTGTTCTTATTAGTGACAAATTACCGCCTCTGTTTTCTCAGTGACAAATCTCCCAGATGATGGTGGCAACGCAAATAACAGGCTGTCTTACTGCTGGGGTGGATTCCATCACTGATGATCACAGGTTTGATGTTGTACCTAATTCCACTACAAGTGACAGGAGGCAGCTGCTGTTGTTCGTAGCCGTGAGTTGTTGAGCAGAGCCCGTGCTGAGGGTGCGACAGGGCTGTTGTGCAGCTGCCCCAAATGTTTCTGAAAGGGGACAGGCTTAACTGCTTGGGGGAAAAAAAGAAAAGCACTCAGGAATTATAGGATCATCAAGGCTGGAAAAAGTTTTGGGGAGCTGCCCCCATTTGATTCTCATGTGCTGGCTGAGGATGCATGAGGAGGTGCAGAAACGCTGTTGTCTTGGTGCTTGACCTTATGAGCTCTGTAGAAATTCTGACTGGGATTGTATAATCCTCTTTTTTCCCCAGCTGTGTGAGCCTCCACATGAACTATCTGTTGGTGATTGCACTGTGACTGTCTTACAGGTCCTGGGATAGGGAATTGTGCATTTGTGGTGTTCCCTGCGGCTTCCACCTCTTCTCAGCCAGGGCTGTCAGCAAAAGCCTGTTTTCCAGGGCTGCAGGGAATGGCAGGAAAACTGGGATAGGAGCAGGAGAGTGTGTGTTGATGGTGACATGTGCAGGGGAGCAATAGCAGGTCACAAGGGAATGGGTACTGTGATGAATTATTGTCCCAGACTAGAACTGTGTGAAAGGAGAAGGCAGGAATTCCTAGGCCGTGCCTTTATTATTTTTGTGAGCTTTTGTGTGAACAAAAATACAGCAAATCCGCAGTACCCCTGTGCAGAACTGACCATGTTTGTTCCCATCAGCAACACTCGTAAAAAACTGTTTTCTCCCCCGCTTTGCTGGCAGAATTTACATCCCCAGAGAGAATTCAAGGAAGCAAACACAGAAATATCAGTGCCATGTCCCTCTAGAAGGTCTGGACCAAGCAACATGCATGTCTTGCAAAATATGATTAGACAAGCAAAAAAAAAACCCTATTTTGCACCAACAGCTCTCAGCAAACTCCTCCAGCAGGATGTTTAAGGCAAGTTTGGGGATTTTGCAGAAGGAATTTCTCTCAGGTTTGCAGTTAATGAGAAAAGCAGGAGAAATGTGAATCGATTAATGCATCTGACAAACGGCCACGGTCTCTATTTCGGTTGTGAATGATTTTTCCTGAAGGGATAAGGACCCTTGTCCCATCTGGGTGCGTTTCTTGAGCTTGTGATTCTTATAAAGAGCTCCTGCCTGGCACAATCGCAGCAGCTTAAAGGTTAAGGTTACCTGTAAGATGAGTCTTTCCCTTGCAAGTTGGACTTAATGACCCGAGTGAGGAAGTTTCTGATACCGAGTGTGTATTCTGGGACTGGAGATCTGCCAATCCTTGGGGAGATAAGGGGGAAATTTTTGCAGTGGCGCTGCTTCAGGAGCCACAGGGAGGAAAATTTTGTTAGCAGATTGCAGGCAAGTGCCCTTTAACCTTAGTGCAGCCACTGTACTGCTTGGGAATATTGTACAGTGGGAAATCCTTTGTCCTTGAGGTGCACTTAGCCCAGTTACATTTGCACCTAAATTACCAGCTGAAGTGCAGAAATATTGAATAAACCACTCTTTTATTTGAAAATTGGTTACTGGAGGCCGGTTTCTACATTCCCAGAGGGTTATCAACCCTTCGAGTGCTCCTCTAGAGATGATTCCCAAGGCAGATATTTGTCCTTTCAGAACATCCAGTGCCGTGCTGCAGCCTGCAAGGCCTTACACATTACCCAGTGAAGGAGAGGTGGCCTGAACCTTTCTGATTCTGCTTTTTAGAGGTTGTAACATCACCCACAACATCAGTGTTGTTTGGCTTCGCTGCATTTCACACACAGTGGGAGGCTGCCTTGTTCTCCGCTGCCTTTAAGCACAGAATTCCGACTGCTGGAGCGGGAACAAGCTCAGCAGGTGCTGCTCAGGGCTCGCAGAGGATCCAAATGATTCCATGAAAGCCTTTCTGTCACCTTGTTGCCCCTGCAGCGGCCAGTTTGCCATCGTGAAGAGGTGCCAGGAGAGGAGCACGGGCACGGAATACGCCGCCAAGTTCATCAAGAAGCGGCAGAGCCGGGCGAGCCGGCGCGGGGTGAGCCGGGAGGAGATCCAGAGGGAGGTCAGCATCCTGCAGCAGGTCCTGCACCCCAACATCGTCGAGCTGCACGACATCTACGAGAACAAGACGGACGTGGTGCTCATCCTGGAGCTGTGAGTGAGGAATGGGGGAGGGCACAGATAATGGCCATATAATAATATCCAGGCACAGATAATGGAGCTGCTGCGTTCCCGAACTTCACAGATTTTGGCAGGAGCACTGAGGGAAGTTGCTGGTAAACAATCCCCCCCCCCCCCCC